GTTCCTTATATTTATATAAATATATATAATATATATATTTTGCTGATGCAGTATACAGTGTGTATATATGTGTGTGTGTGTGTATGTGTGTGTGTGTGTAAATTTATGTACACACACATACAAACTGTTCCTGGAAGAGAACTCTGAATGCTTTGCTAGCAAAACACTGTGGTGTGCAAACCTAGAACTCAATAGAAAAAAGCCATTTATCTGAAGGCTGTGCAGTGGAGGGAGTCTTCAGTTTACCTCATTCTTTGTAACAGCCCTTGATTTTAACAAGTTTTTGTAATAGGTACAAATAATCCCATATCTTTCTAGGTGCAATTTTAAGTTAAGCTAAAATTCTTTGTAAGTTAATTTATTTGTATATGATAGTAGAAGGTAAGATCATGTCATACCTTGTAATTTGGGGAATTTGACACTATTTAAATTATTGGCAACTGTTATCTGTTGTACAGAGGTTCTTTTTCTGCTGGCTCAGTCTGTTACATTAATGATGCATTTTCTGTGTTCAGGCACACAACTTTACATAAATACAAAGTTCATTGGTGATGCCAATTTACAATATTTTGGCTATTTACAACACCAGTATCACTCTGCTATAAAAATTAAATTTATGTTCTTTTCATTCGTAAGCATTATTAATACATCTCCTTTACCAAAAACCGGAGCAATACAATATCTTCTTTATATGCTGTATGCCTTTGTTTACTAAAAGCTAACTTTCTTGCATTTACTTTAAAGGGCTGTACTAAACCCACAGCTTTATGTTTTTTCCTAAAAGAAGCATTGCAGCTAACCCTGAACCCACAAATTGTTTTAAGACACAGCATTTCTCTTCTCCACGTCCCATGCCTCGTGTCAGTGCTTAGTTGTTTTCCAGGTGAACACTACAGGTAATCTCCTGTTTGAAATGTGGGGCAGGAGGGTCTTTCATGGCAATGGAGATAAGTTTTCGTCTTTATAGTGAAACGGCAACCCAAAGTCCCTGTCAGTAGAGTCCTGTGTAGTCCATGAACTAGGTACAGGTAGTTCAGCTTTGCACAAACAAATGAATGCACTGTTTCTGAAAATCCTAGGTCATAGAGAATGGTCACTTCAGAGATGAGGCTGCCTCCTCAGATATTCAAAGTATGAAATAGAGGAACCTGGTATTTTCCACACTGGCTTGATTAATGTTTATATATCTCACTGTTAATTCAGCAGTATTTTATTGTGAAAGAAAACCTCAGTGTTGCAGCTCACTCAGGAGTGGGGGTAAGAGGTGAGCCACCACTGTGGTGCATTCCTTGAGTGTTATGGGGGGCGGGGTGTCATACTTTTCCTTCCCAGGGCCAAAGAAACCTTAGAAGATGCTTGAAGGAGACTCTTTTCCCCCAAGTGTTGTGATGTCTGGTCAGTTATGAGAATACCACTGGACGTGTTCTATGGACATTTGGGATTGCCGTTCCCAGGGGGATTTATTTGACTGGTCTTCAGTCACATGGGTCACTTTGAAGGAAAGCTTTGGTTGTCACCATTATACCACTGAGATAAGGTGTTAGCAAAGTATGGTTCAGATTAATTTATGTGACCAAGAGCTTTTCTCTTCCACAAAGATGAATTTTATTGTAAATAGTTTCTCAAAATATTTTTAACTGGATCATGAGCATGGGGAGAGAAAGTTTCTCAGCTGCTAAGAATTCCCCACTGTTTACTTCTTTCACTTACAGTGGTATTGCAAGATGCAAAACTTAAGGTTTTATTTGTATCTATTACCCAAACCATTAAATTACCTAATTTATCATCATCTTGAAGGTCCAGTGCATAAAGGACTGATAGGAGGAAACTCCCTATAACCAGTCACCACCCCGACCCAGTTAAAACTGTTCCATCAAATAGTGTGTAAAGTCAGATCTTTGTACTCTTCCAGACCAAACATTGAAATGGACTTATTCATATAAAATTCTTTACATCCTGTAAGTGAAAAGAGAGACAACTGTCAGCAGTTGCTTTTTAAAAGGTCACAATAATAAGTACTATATAGTACAGTATTAATTTATAGCAGGAAATCATAGCTTGTAAACTGTATATAAAACACTGTTTTATGGTGCAATCATTTGTCAAACTTGTCTGTTACATTGTTTTTGGAGTGCATTATTCTCATACCTAAGAACATCATTGTAAAATCTGCTGAAAACTAGTTATAGGTTTTATTTGCACAGGACTTAATTAGTTTGAAAATTTTGGAAGCTCCTATTAAATATGCCTAAACATTTGTAAATGTGGAAAATCTTCAGTTCATTAAAAGCAAACATTTCAGTATGATTCTTTCCAAAGGTAATCCATGTTCTATGTTGTTACTGTGTGTATGTAATTTTTCTGACTCTTCTACTTCTTATAAACTTATTTTCTGTTCCATTTGTTTTGTTTTTGAAGGATGGCTCTTTTTTCTTTTTTCTTTTTAATGTTCTAGATGACCAAAACTTCATTGATTTTTTTACCCTTTTGCCTAAAGTTTTGGTATCCCCATATGATGTTCTGTGAATTCACTGTTTAATCTCTTAAGTAAATAATGAGTAGTCCTGGTGACATACAATCAATTGATTTAGAGGAAAGGCCCTGAAAAAGTACTGGATGCTAATTTCGGGTGGACTTTTAGCTGTTATTTTGCATCGTGGGCTTCATGGGCAGAACAGTTGCATTTATTTTGTCTTTGTTAAAAGACTACTAGCTACAGTTACTCTGGTTGTAGTAACTGTTTTATCAACCCACTTTAATCTTCTTCTAAAATTAAATCTACATTCACAGTTGCAAAACAGTAAACTATCAGAGCTAATTTTTGAAGGTTGAAAACACATGAAGGAAAAAAGTGGCCTGTGTAGGTTGGATTTCCTACACAGGGCTTATTGTATCACCTCAAGAGATTTTGAAGTTTGTGATCAAGGTCTGTATATTACCCCAAAGTTTATTAAGAATTGTTTTCTAATTGGTTATAACATTTTTGAATTAATAGTTTCAAAACAAATTGTTAATACAAAATGTATAAAATGAACATAATTTTCTTCACTTGTATTTTTGTTATTGAGCAAGTTTATCAAAATAAATTGTCTACTAAAGAAACTAAAAAGGATTCTATTACTTTAAAATAAGCTTTGATTTTAAAACTGTACTTGATTTCTTATAAAGTTTTCACATATTCACACCATGACACTTTCCGCGCCTCTTGGTTTGGTTTCGTTGTTAGCGTCGTGCGGGAAGGTCTCCCGCTCTTCCATTCCCACTCCTCGCTTCCCCGCTCGGGAGGAGATGCCATTAGTATGCTGGGATATGGATTAGGCCTATTTACCAAGCAGTCACTCGGCAAGAATAGAGCGTGCACGTGCGCCCCTCTCTCCTGTTCATGTTTCCTGTACGAGGAGGGAGACTGAGCCAAGGCCCCCCGAGCCGGGCATCTTTCCTTTCTTGCACAAAGACCTACGTGCCCACTCATCTCTGCCTCAGTCTCCTGTATCTACTTCACTGCAGGCCAGAGGGTCGTAGCTTCTAAGATTTAAATTTGGATTGAAGGAGGAATAGACACGCTTGGTGTCTAGACTTGCGCCCCTGTGCTCCGTCAGCTCGCCTGTGGCTCTCGAGCTGTCGGGATGAGGCCAGTCTAGTAATAACTGATGACCAAATTAAACACTATTTACCCTTTGCTCCTGTTTCTTCTCTTTATGGCCTCATTCGGCGCCTCAATGGGGAGTTAGGAGATTAAGACAGGGTAGGATTTGGACTTTCTTGAGTTCTGGAGCTTAAGGGCATTTTCTTATGATGACCAACTGTCCCGGTTTGCCTAAGACTGAAGGGTCTCCTGGGCAGGAGACTTTCAGTGCTTTAACTGAGAAAGTTCCAGGTGAATGGGGATGGTTTGTTCACCCTGTCTGTGCGCCATCCAAGCCTCACCCTGGTTATAACACAGATGAGAGGTATTTGAAGGGTTCTTTTCTATAAACCTATTGATGAACACGTCGGTTG